GTGGTGATGGCAGCAACTCACCTGACGGTCTTGGCACGGTAGTGTACCTCGCAGTAGAGCTTGTCATCAACAACCCAGTAACCTTGGTTCTTCAGGTTCGAACCGCACGTCGTGCAGTTGAAGCAGTCAGGGTGAAGGGTCTTGTCGTTCGCCTTCACGAACACACCGCTGCAACGACAAAGAACAACGCGTATGAACAATGATGAACGGATATGAACAACAGTGTAATGCAATAGTCTTGCACACTGCTGCAATGACAAAGAACAATGCGTATGAACAATGATGAACGGATATGAACAACAGTGTAATGCAATAGTCTTGCACACTGCTGCAATGACAAAGAACAATGCGTATGAACAATGATGAACGGATATGAACAACAGTGTAATGCAATAGTCTTGCACACTGCTGCAATGACAAAGAACAATGCGTATGAACAATGATGAACAAGTGTGAATTAACAATGCGTATGAACAATGATGAGTTGGTAGGAACACGGGGTAGTGGCAGCATCTTGAGTTTGGCTTTTACGAACATCCCGCTGCAATGATAAGGAACAACGCGTGTGAACAATGATGGATGGGTATGAACAACAGTGTAATGCAATAGTCTTGCACACCTGCTGCAACGGCAAGGGACAACAGGTACGAACAACACTGAAACGCAAAGAACAATGCGTATGAACAACACAATCGTCGTCATTTCGAGTCGCGAAACAAACGCGCGAGAAACTTTTCACGTTGCGCCAGTCTAGAACCAGAAGTTCTGCAACCACCAGCTAAGCATAATGCATTGCGACAGCTGCTCCGACAGAGCCTAGACTGACACCAGCTTCGCCACCTTGCGCCAGGAGATCCACAGAGCGATGGCAGACTAAGTTCTGTTTTAAATATCAATCATAAAAGAAGCAAAACGTGGATCAAAGAAATCCAAAAAAACTTTCAACAGCTGCGAAGATCGTAGCAGAATTTTACGAGCGTAACAGAGAGCGTTGGATTTCCGCTTGAGACCCTCGCGATTGCAGAATTTGCATCTACCAAGAGAAGATTCTATCCATGCAAATTACTCCAAGCGAACTTATCAAGTCATCCTTTACTTTTTGAATATTTATTTGGGGAGGGGACTCTTATGACCTTTGCATCATGGTAAGGTTTCAAAAGGCTGTAGTCAGAAAAATGTCAAGCACTACACTATGACTACTGTGCGGGAAGAGAATGTTCACTAGAGCCAGTAGTAGACAATATCAACAAAAGATCATATTAAATTGATAATATTTTAAACTGCTGCCGCAATATTACGACCAGACTGGCAAAAGGCGAACTAGTTCCCACAGCCACCGACAGAGGACGCTACATTAGCTAATGTAGTCGGCTGTACGTGCAAAACCTCCATTAGCGGGTTGAGTAAACATGAAGTAAGGTGGTAAGAAATATTTTGAAGTTGTTTGGGGAAAATCTTAAATGTAGCGAGGAAGCCCAGGGGGTTTGGCAAGGAAAGGTTTTTTGTCGGACCCCGGTATGGTTTGATCTCGTTTTGGGACTGAAATAAACCAACAATTTTTCCTATATATAATGTGTGTAGTTTTGAATTATAGTTATTTTACAATGAAATGTCTGTATCATTTAAAAAAAATATGATCAATCACACTAACTGTTCGGATGTCGAAACAGGAAGATGGAGAGGATACGGAGGGGAGGAGGAGGAGGTGGAGCAGGAGAAGGGGGGCAGACGGCAATCATCATCTGACTGGAAGCTTCCTTTCCAAGAGATGTGCAGCATTTCATGCTCGCAGTCACGCATACAATCTCGTTGTTCCAGCACGTCAAAACAGGTAACCCCAAAAACAGAAAAGAAACCTCCATCGTTGCTCTGTTTCTCTCTCCCTCTACTCTCCCTCTCTGTCTCTCTTTCTCTCTCTCTCTATTGCTACGCTAAGCTTAGCATAAATCTCCGATTAAACAATGCGACACACAGAAGCAGCATAAAAGTTCACCAATCACCGAAAGAGAAACACGAACGACAATGCACGACAGCCCCCGCACCACCGCAAGCAGGATACGGGCACAAACACACCGTGACTGCACGCACGCACGCACGCACGCACGCATGCACGTAAGCACGTACGCGCGCACGAACACACGCACGCACGCACGCATGCACGTACGCGCGCACAAACACACGCACGCACGCACGCACGCACGCACCAATGCTCTACCACCGACGCAAAAATGCGACAACGTGACCCGGCGACGCATCGTGTGCATCTGCCGCCATGACAGTGTCGTATCTTACAGACGCCACGTGGCTGCCTCTGCTTTCGTGCAATCCAGTAACAATGCACCGATCTAGCTAGCTTACGAATTTCGACTTAGTTCGTAAACTGCTCAATGGGGGCGTCACATGGCATGCACCCATGCTGCCACCTATTGAGCAAGGTTAAGAACTAAAACTGGGCCGTTCGGACTTTTTGAGCGCGTTCACAATTTTGATTTTTTTCCCTTTGACTTCGTTCGAGGATTTGAATTTTAAAATAAATATCTTTTCGCGATGAAATAAAAAATAGAAAATCATTCCTAAATAAAACCGCCGCGATATTATGACTATCGTTACCGTTATTATTATGACTATTATTAATATTGATTATTATTATTATTATAAATAGATTAATAACACTCCTTGAGCTGCTCAAATATCGGTCGTCAACGAAGCCAGTCCCAGTGAAGTCTCAGAGACTCTTTTCTCTCATTTCTCCCAAACATAACATCTTAACGACTCTGCGATTTAACGGCAGACTTAACCAATGACTTAATGACTTAGTTAACGATTGACTTAGCAACTGACTTAGCGATTGACTTGGCGACACACTGGTGACGTTTCCACGGAGACTGGCCTCGCAGACGACTGGCTGACTGACGCAGCAGCACACGGTGCACATACTCTGTGTGCCGACCGATGACCGAGGGGGAGGAGCTCTCGCGAGGGAGAATTGGGAATCTGGACATCCTCATGCCGCTTTGCACTGAGCGAGACGGTGGGGGGCGACGGGGGAGCGCACGCGCGGGCGTGGCACATGCCACACGATCCCCAGACCCTCCTACCCCCTCTCTCAACTAACCACATCTCTAACCCCCATTTCCTGATATGTCATTGAAAATGAGAGTGGAGAGACCCTGAAGATTTCTACCCCTTACCCTTGCTACCTGAATTTTTTTATAGAATATGAATTAGCCAATATGGAAGTAAACCTAAAATGTCCCTCATCCTCGGATCATTTTTGTGTAAGTATGACCAAATGATCAAGACCGGAGATGGTTGAAAATTTAGTTCTTATGAATAGACATACATCAGCTATTTAAAATCTTATTTTAAATTCTATATATATATATATATATATATATATAGGGTATTCAATATAACAAATTTTGCCAACAATTATGATATGCTGACGAGACGTCCTGTAAAATGTGCCCCCCTCTACCCGCCCTCTCCCCCTCCCCCCCGTCACATCCCGGCCACAGGGAACGTGCCCCACCAACGTGAGCGCCCCCCTAGCGTGCGCCGCCGACAACAACGACAACAGCGCCCTCTACCACGGAGTCCTACCTGGAGTATGGGGCTTCGGCGCGACAGCCGTCGGCCGCCACCCCGCCGACGCGGGCTGCGTCGGACGCCAGCTAGAGGGCGCTGCAGCAGCGCTGGGGCTCGGCTGCGAGGGTGCTGCCGCCACGGGCGGCGGTGGCGCGAAGCCGCCGGCCGGCCTGAAAACACAAGGACAACGTTAATGTCGGCCATCTTTGTATTACGTCACGTTTTGTGTTTTAATACGTTGACAATATAATTATTATTATATGAGTTTGACAATATAATTATGTTATATATTTGCATTACGTTACGTCTCAATGTTTACATTACGTTACATATAGTTTGACAATGTAATGATTTTATATAATTGCATTATATCATCGGTAAACATTATTGTAATGCATCACGTTATTTATATAACATTACATTATACAGTTACATCATGTAACATTAGATTTATATTGCATCATCGGCGATTACATTAACAATACGTTCTAAAGTACCTTCCTGAACGGAACACCAACTACATCGCTTAGGAGCTATGTATATATATATA